CGAAGACTGTCTAACTTATTTCCATTGGGGTCCTTAATCTTGTCTCCCAGGATGCAACCCACACAAGTCGACTAACACCCAGGTGAACAGGGAAAAATGCCTGGAACTAGTGCTCATATTGGTGAATTTAAAGCCAGCAAAGGTTGGTTTGAGAGATTTAAGAATCGTAGTGGCATACACAGTGTGATAAGGCCTGTTCTGGAAGAAAATGCCAAACAGGACCCCACAGTACTCAGGAGGAAAAGGCACTCCCAGGACACAGTGTCTCATCAGTCATTGCTGCATCTTCAATAAAGGTAAGTGTCATTTATTCTTCATTTAGTAGACTAGTACATGCACAATATATACTGTGCATGTACTACTCTACTATTGTGCATGTATCCTTCTCTTTGTGTGTGGGAAAATGTATATTTCATGTGGTAAAATTTTTTTTTTCATACTTTTGGGTGTCTTGCACGGATTAATTTGATTTCCATTATTTCTTATGGGGAAAATTCATTCACATAGCGATTATTTCGCATAACAATTACCCCTCTTGCACGGATTAAAATCGTTAACCGGGGGTCCACTGTACATATAAAACATACAATAACTTTAAAACACTTGAAATTTTGGAAAGTTTCCAGACATAATAAGGAGATGTGCTCAGGGAGAATGTAAACAAACTCGGTGGGCAGCTGTGACCGTATTAGAAAGACAGGTGGGGGGAGCCGTATAGCGAGTTTTGGTCATAATTTGAAATGTCCGTATTAGCGGAACGCCGTAAAGCGAACCGCCGTAAAGCGGGGCCCTGCTGTACTTCCACATATCCAAAACATTGCTGGGACATATAAATACTTTGTATATATTCCAAGACAATAACAAATGGCCAAGGCAGGTGTAAATGTAAACCTGTCAATGTGTTTGTGACAATTTGAGTACAGTTTCAGTACCTAATACTAGTGTCAGAACAAAGAATGGTTATGAAATGACAAGAACTACTATAAACTGTAATTATCAGAACATAAAAATTATATAAAATGATATGAAAATAGTAAAAAAGGTATATCGGCAAAACTTCAAGTGGCAGGACTCGATGTTGCCATCACGTGAGCATCCAGTGCCAATTTCTCGGCCTCATATCTCTGTAATTACTGACCCTAATTTTTTTTATTCTAAAACACTTAAAAAATATATGCTCTTTTTTTTCTATAAAAAAAAATTTACCCCCTCCCTCCAGCCCTTCCTAGGCCGACCCCTACCCCACCTTCCCTCCACTTCAGATTTATACACTCTTGAAGTCATTCTGTTTTGTTCCACTCTCTCTACATGTTTGAACCACCTCAACAACCCCTCCTCAGTCCTCTGGATAATAGTTTTGGTAATCCCACACCTTTTCCTAATTTCTGAACTACGAATTCTCTGCATTATATTCACACCACACATTACCCTCAGACATAACATCTCCACTGCCTCCAGCCTTCTCCTCGTTGCAACATTCATCACCCATGCTTCACACCCATACAAGAGTGTTGGTACAACTATACTCTCGTACTTTCCCCTTTTTGCTTCCACGGACAAAGTTCTTTGCCTCCACAGACTCCTAAGTGCACCACTCACCCTTTTCCCCTCATCAGTTCTGTGATTCACCTCATCCTTCATAGACCCATCTCCTAAATATCTGAATACATTCACCTCCTCCATACTCTCTCCCTCCAATCTGATATCCAGTCTCTCGTCACCTAATCTTTTTGTTATCCTCATTACCTTACTCTTTCCTATATACACTTTTAATTTTCTTCTTTTACATACCCTACCAAATTCATCCACCAACCTCTGCAACTTCTCTTCAGAATCTCCCAAAATCACCGTGTCATCAGCAAAGAGCAGCTGTGACAACTCCCACTTTGTGTTTGATTCTTTATCTTTTAACTCCACACCTCTTGCCAAGACCCTAGCATTCACTTCTCTTACAATCCCACCTATAAATATATTGAACAACCACGGTGACATCACACATCTCTGTCTAAGGCCTACTTTTACTTGGAAATAATCTCCCTCTCTCCTACATACTCTAACCTGAGCCTCACTATCCTTGTAAAAACTCTTCACTGCTTTCAGTAACCTACCTCCTATACCATACACCTGCAACATCTGCCACATTGCCCCCCTATCCACCCTGTCATATGCCTCTTCTAAATCCATAAATGCCACAAAAACCTCTTTACCCTTATCTAAATACTGTTCACCTATATGTTTCACTGTAAACACTTGATCTACACACCCCCTACCTTTCCGAAAGCCTCCTTGTTCATCTGCTATCCTACTCTCTGTCTTTACTCTTAATTCTTTCAATAGTAACTCTACCATACGCTTTACCAGGTATACTCAACAGACTTATTCCCCTATAATTTTTGCACTCTCTTTTATCCCCTTTGCCTTTATACAAAGGAACTATGCATGCTCTCTGCCAATCCCTAGGTACCTTACCCTCTTCCATACATTTATTAAATAATAGCACCAACCACTCCAAAACTACATCCCCTCCTGCTTTTAGCATTTCTATCTTTATCCCATCAATCCCAGCTGCCTTACCCTCTTTCATTCTACCCACTGCCTCACAAACTTCCCCCACATTCACAACTGGCTCTTCCTCACTCCTACAAGATGTTATTCCTCCTTGCCCTATACACGAAATCACAGCTTCCCTGTCTTCATCAACATTTAACAATTCCTCAAAATATTCCCTCCATCTTCCCGATACCTCTAATTCTTCATTTAATAACTCTCCTCTCCTATTTTTAACTGTCAAATCCATTTTTGTTCCCTAGGCTTCCTCAACTTATTAATCTCACTCCAAAACTTTTTCTTATTTTCAACAAAATTTGTTGATAACATCTCACCCACTGTCTCATTTGGTCTCTTTTTACTTTGCTTCACCACTCTCTTAGCCTCTCTTTTCCTCTCCATATACTCTTCCCTCCTTGTATCACTTCTACTTTGTAAAAACCTCTCATATGCTAACTTTTTCTCCCTTACTACTCTCTTTACATCATCATTCCACCAATCGCTCTTCTTCCCTCCCGCACCCAGTTTCCTGTAACCACAAACTTCTGCTGAACACTCTAACACTACATTCTTAAACCTACCCCATACATCTTCGACCCCATTGCCTATACTCTCACTAGCCCATCTGTCCGAATGTATAGGAACCTTTGAACCAAGTGAGAGAGTAATTGTGGTAGGGGACCTAAATGCTAAAGTAGAAGAAACATTTAGAGAGTGTGTGGTAGGTAAGTTTGGGGTGCCAGGTGTAAATGATAATAGGAGCCCTTTGATTGAACTTTGTATAGAAAGGGGTTTAGTTATAAGTAATACGTATTTTAAGAAATAGAGGATAAATAAGTATACAAGATATGTTGTAGGGCATAATGACAGTAGTTTGTTGGACTATGTATTGGTAGATAAAAGACTGTTGAGTAGACTTCAGGATGTACTTGTTTGTAGAGGGGCCATAGATATATCAGATCACTTTCTAGTTGTAGCTACAGTGAGATTAAAAGTATATGGGATACAAGGAAAATAGAAGCAGCAAGTAAGAGAGAGGTGAAGGTGTATAAACTAAAAGAGGAGACAGTTAGGGTAAGATATAAACAACTATTGAAGGATAGACTCTTCTTGTATTCAACATTATTATTCTTAGGTAGTATGTTGGTAGACAGCAACTGCCCAGGGAGGTACAACTATCCTGTCAAATAAGTGTAAAGCAGAAGCCTGTAATTGTTTTACATGATGGTTTCATATACATGCAAGATTTCAGGTATGTCTTGCTACTTCTACTTACACTTAGGTCACACTACATATGCATGTACAAGCATATGTATAAACCCCTATAGGTTTTCTTCTGTTTTCTTACTAGTTCTTGTTCTTGTTTATTTCCTTTTATCTCCAAGGGGAAGTGGAACAGAATTCTTCCTCCATAAGCCATGCATATTGTAAGAGGTGACTAACTTACCGGGAGGAAGGTACTAGTAACCCCTTTCTCCTGTATACATTACTAAGTTAAAAAAAAGAAACTTTCTTTTTTCTTTTTAGGCCACCCTGCTGGTTTGTTGAAAGAAGAGCTTTATTATTGATATTTAAGATTTTTTTTTTTTTTTTTTTTTTTTCAACAAACCGGCCTTATCCCACCAAGGCAGGGTGGCCCAAAAAGAAAAACGAAAGTTTTTCTTTTTAAATTTAGTAATTTGAACAGGAGAAGGGGTTACTAGCCCCTTGCTCCCGGCATTTTAGTCGCCTCTTACAACACGCATGGCTTACAGAGGAAGAATTCTGTTCCACTTCCCCATGGAGACAAGAGGAAATAAACAAGAATAAGAACTAGAAAGAAAATAGAAGAAAACCCAGAAGGGTGTGTATATATGTGCTTGTACATGTGTGTAGTGTGACCTAAGTGTAAGTAGAAGTAGCAAGACATACCTGAAATCTTGCATGTTCATGAGACAGAAAAAAGGACACCAGCAATCCTACCATCATGTAAAACAATTACAGACTTTCGTTTTACACTCACTTGGCAGGACGGTAGTACCTCCCTGGGCGGTTGCTGTCTACCAACCTACTACCTAGGATTTAAGATTATAACAGGATTATTAAACTGCTTTGTTTCTCGCATATGCCACCTATAATGTTATGCTTGAATTTTTATGAAAAACCTCTTTGTTTACATCCATATTTTCAAAAATTCAGCCCTAAAGACTTTTCAATTTTCTAATATAACCACTTGTTTACTGCCACTTTTCTGCATCCATTCTAATCCTGAGAAGTTCTATTTCTCACTGAATTTGACAACAGATCATAAATTTGTTGGAAGCCAACTTATCTTAATTGCCAAAACAGCCTAAGAGTCCTGAAAGTTTTATCAACATGTAGTGTGACCATGGTTTTTTTTATTAAAGATTTTAACACTTCACAGAACATATCATGTACAAGACAGTGCATAAATATACTTTTGTGTCTGTCAGGAAACTCGAGAGGGAAGGATCAACCAGTACCATGAGATTCCAGATGCACCACCAGTGCTTGGCCTGCGAGAAGGATCATTACTGCATGTGACTGGTCAGTCAGCTGTGCTGAAGGGTTTACACTCAGCTCGACTTTTTAGACCGTAAGTAAGATGCCCGATTGGCAGCTTTTGTTTAATCTTTGTTTGGGTGGAGGAGAAGTGAGGCATGAGGAATTAAGGGTAATCTTTAAGTTTCACTATGAGGTATGGGTGGGATAATGCAGTTTACAGGGTCATTTGAATTGATATATGAATGCTGTTCTATGGATGTTGTTTCCTTGTTTGAGTCACCCTTCCTTGGTGGGAAAGACCCACCAAGGAAGGGTATGGTTTGTTTGCAATCGTGTCATTATGATTTCGTGAGTCATGGTAAAAAAAGTTTAATATAAGAGTAGCTGCAGTGATAAGAGAAGAGTAGGAATAAATCTAGGTGAATATTAAAACTAATTATGAGGTGCTATCAGAGAGTTCTTGGACTGCTGCAGGAAAAAATATATAGGCTAACCTAATCACTTAGTTGAAAGGGGCTGTTAGTGTACAACAGTATTCCAGCCTAGAGGGAACAAGAGATTTAACCCTTAAACTGTGTCCAACTTACTAGTATGCAAATGCTGTCTATGTATCCAGCTTACTAGCATGTTTATTTTTTTGTACCCACAGATCTGCCACCTGCCAATACTTTTTATCTCAGCACAGCTCTTTGTGCCTTCTTCCATCTATTCATCCATTTGAAAAATATCTAAGGCCAGCAGGGTCCAGACAGCATATCTTGGTTAACTACTCAGAAGTAAACAATGAACCAGGGGCTGTTGTTCCACCACCAGCTTTCTTTCCTGCTAACAGTTTGTGCAAGTGGCACAAAGATGACTTATTCATTCCAGATTCATTACAGTTTCATGATACTAATGGTAGAAAATGCAGGCACAAAGCACACAGGTATATTTAACTTAGGATAATCCAGTGAAGTCAAACAATGTGAATAATTTCCATGTTTTGAGGAGTATTACACTGAAACAATTCTAAGTACAGTATTCATTGTACATAGTCTTAGAAGATAAAAATAGAATAAAAGCAGTTATACAGTATAGTGGAACCTTGGCTTATGAATGCCCCACCATGCGAATTTTTCAGTATACGAACAGTCGCTCGGTTGATTTTTTGCTTCTGGATATAAACAAAGTTTCAGGATGTAAACTTCCTCCTCAAGGGAGGTTCCTTGGTGAGGGGCTCTTGATCTAGGGAATTGGATCTGTGCTCCAGTTCCCTAAATTAATAAAAAAAAAATAATAATTTTTATTCTTAGTATTATAATACGTACGTTCTACTACTACTAATAATAATACGGATAGTATAATAATATAATAATAATATACAGTGGACCCCCGCTTTACGATCACCTCCCAATGCGACCAATTATGTAAGTGTACTTTATGTAAGTGCGTTTGTACGTGAATGTTTGGGGGTCTGAAATGGACTAATCTAATTCACAATATTCCTTATGGGAACAAATTCATTCAGTACTGGCACCTGAACATACTTCTGGAATGAAATAATATCGTAAACCGGGGGTCCACTGCACTAGGTAGTAGGTTGGTAGACAGCAACTGCCTAGGGTGGTACTACCATCCTACCAAGTGAGTGTAAAACGAAATCCTGTAATTGTTTTACACGATGGTAGGATTGCTGGTGTCCTCTTTTCTATCTCATAAACATGCAAGATTTTCAGGTAAGTCTTGCTACTTCTACTTACACTTAAGTCACACTACACATACATGTACAAACATTTATATACACACCCTCTGGGTTTTCTTCTATTTTCTTTCTAGTTCTTGTTCTTGTTTATTTCCTCTTATCTCCATGGGGAAGTGGAACAGAATTCTTCCTCTGTAAGCCATGCGTGTTGTAAGAGGCAACTAAAATGCCGGGAGCAAGGGGCTAGTAACCCCTTCTCCGGTATATATTACTAAATGTAAAAGGAGAAACTTTCGTTTTTCCTTTTGGGCCACCCTGCCTCGGTGGGATACGGCCGGTTTGTTGAAAGAAAGAAGAATAATAATATATAATAATACGTATACTAATAATATAATACGTAATACTATAATAATAATTATAATAATACATACATAATAAGTGAGCTTCAGAATGCCACCACGAGATGGCAGAGTGAATATCAAAACAACACTCACCAGTGCACGTGTGCTTACGAAGCTTACCTCATGGCGGAAGGAATTCTCGTGTTTTCCTATGTTTCATGCAGTTATTTTGCCAAATTTCTTCTTTCTAACCATGGGGCCTAAGAAAGCAAGTGCAAAGGACAGTGCTGAGAAGAAAAAGAGGATGATTTCCATGGAATTAAAGCAGGAAATCATAGATAAACACAAACTAGGTGCAACGGTTAAGGACTTGGTGTGTGAGTACCAGCATAGCAGTTCTACAATATGTACAATACTAAAGCAGAATGAGTCTATAAAGGCTATATCGGACAGTTTTTTATTGAAATGCCCTGCAGATGAAAGTGTGAAAAGCATGGAGAAAAAGCCAAAAATCAGTGAATAGTGAAGTGCGATAAAAATAAAAATTGTAGCATTTAAGTTCATTGAATAAGTGTAGCATTAAGAGTGTAACAATTAAGTTAAGCAATTAAGTGATAGAAGAAGGACGAAATGAAATGAACTCCTGACAGCATACGTCACTCTGCATATCTTTTCCACCATCAACCTATGCCAGCATTTCTTCTCCAAGGTAAATGGTGTACGTACACCAGTTTATTTCTACATTATGTTTTCCTTATGAAAGTAGTGATCTCATGCAGTTAGCCTCACAAACTCCATTTTCTCTTATAATAACACCTCTGAAGGGGAAGCATGGGAAGACGTTTTCATAGCAGGAGCAAGAATGCCCATGACCATTCTCCTCCGCCACCGTCATCACTAGCCACATACATAATAACCTATTTTATTCATTCTAGAGTGTATATCAGGTTTCTATGTTATTTATATTGTTTATTATGTCATAGTAGATGAATTGTGATAAATAAATTAGCCATAAAGTTGATATTAGCATCATATTGAAGTACAGTGGACCCTTGGTTATTATAATTAATCCGTTCCAGAGAATGTGACTAAAGCCGAATTTGATGATTTCCGAATTCATTATCCTCATAAGAAATAATGTAAATCCAATTAATCTGTTCCAGCCGCCCAAAAGTATTAAAAAATTTTTTTTACATGAAATACACATTTACCTACACAAAAAACAATGAGACATGAAAAATAAAACAATAATAACAGACACTTTCTTTTATTCAAGAAGCTTCTTAGTGTATTGAAGATAGGAGGAGGGGAGAGGATGGAGAAATTACTGCTTGGAAGGGGAATCCCTTCCATAAAGACTTCAGGTACCAAGTCTTTTTCCGAGGTTACTTCCCTTCTTTATTTTTTAATGCCACTAGGACCAGCTTGAGAGTCACTGGACCCCTGTTGCTTAAAAAAGTGTTCCAGAGAGGTCTGTTTCTGGCATATGTTAGGAATTGTGGCGGCAGCAGAGGAGTGTCTGGGAGACAGGACGAGATATCCCTTCAATAGAACTAATATCAACTCTAGGTTATTTATCTAGCACAATTCATCTAATATGACATAAAAACAATTTTAAATAACATAGAAACATGTTAACTCTAGAATGAAAAAAATTATGTCTTACTTTTGTGCAAGTTTTTGTGTTTGTTTTTGGGGGTGTATAAGGGCCACTGAAAGATGAGCCTTACTAGTGGTGGTATGGCAGCAGCAGGGCAGTGGTGTTATTCAGTAGCCCTAAACCCCCAACAACATTGAAGATCGGTTTCTCCCTCCTTTTTATATCAATTAATGGGTTAAAACTTACTTGTACCTGTTAATGATACCTTTATCGCTGGCTGGCACTATAGCCTTTTTTGACTCCTGGTATAGTATTGAAACATATTGCAGAATCACTGAAAAAGGCACATTCTCCCCTCCCCCTTCACCCCTTTACCAAGGGGGGGTGGCACTAGGAACTTTCTTTGGACCTGGTGGCTTATTTAGGTTTCAAGACTAAAAAAAATGGAAAAAAAAACGAAAAAGTATCGTATGAACGCTGGGATCATGTTCATGGGGTGATAAACAATGCCACCTGGTGTGGGCCGCTGTTGGGTGCGGAGGATTTTGGGACGAATGCTATTACCGAGCTCATGATGATCACCGAAGCCATTTTTGCGAAAAAACTTTACGATTTCGAATATTTCAAAAACCCAAAGCTCGATTCCAGGGGTCCACTGTATTTTTTGTGCTTCCTGAAGCAGGGAATTCCACTGGGAAGGGTTAATGTCATTTCATTTTTTTGACCCGGGGATACGAAAAAATTGGGATCGAACAAGGTCACAAAAAAAAAAATTCTTAAGCCGAGGGGTTTCCCCTGCGGCCCGGGGACTTTGGGTGGCAGTAGTCCCGATTGATTGGCTTTTTTCCAGTGTTTTACGTGTACTTGGCCTGGAAGACCGTTTGCGGCTTTCCCAGAATTTAAGAAGATGCCCCCCATCGAGCAACTTTACAACACTTAAGGAAAAAATTGAGGATGGCGAATTGGAAAATTTTGGGGATGACCGAGGGGAAAAAAAAAGATTCGTAGTAGTCCTCCCGTTTTGAGTCCCCAGGTCAAGAAGGGGAAAGGTCGTGGCTGGACAGCAGGGAAAGAAGTTTACGATAAAAGAGAATGGAAAATTTTGAAAAGATAAAAAGAAGAGACTGCCGGGGAAATGTTGTGGAAACATCTAAAACTTTCATGCTACCGACGAATGTGAGTCGCTACTGGGAACGTACGACGAACGACACCAAGGGGAAAGGGACGAATATTGTTGTTGTTTGGGGGGAGCCAAGTAAAATTATGGATAGGGGGTTCTGCTTGAAGGGGAAAGGGTAGGGGACAGAGAGTTTTCTTTCCTGGGGCTGGGATGGGGATATTTTTAGCCGTCTGGATGACATCTGAGAGGTATGGGGAGTAACCTATATCTGTCTCAGGCGGGAGGCCCCGGTTGGCAGACGGGGAGTGAAGACCTGTTTAGCAGGTATAGGTCAGCAAAAAAATAATTGGGAGAAAGGGGGAACCCTCTCAATGTTTTTTTTCCAAGGAGGGGGTTAAAAATAAATGGTTGTCCGGGGCAATTGGTGTCAATTGCGGGCTGGACAAAATTTAAAGGGAAAATGCAGTAACATTCTTTGACAACTGGGCCCTCTTCAGGGCAAAATGACATTATGCCAGGATGGGTTCACTTATCTAGGTTGGGGGGGGGCACTGGAAAACTGCGTGGGGGGAGCAGTTGGGGACTTTAAATAGGTAGTTAGTGGTAGGGGTTTTGGCGGGAAAAAAACAGTAAGTCCCGGTAGTAATATTACATTCTGGGGAACTAGTAATAAAAGAACGAGATAGATATTGAAAAGCCGGGGCCCTTTGGGTGAAAAGGACATAATGGGTTTTTTAAGAAAAAATAAAATGAGCAGGAAGGGGAAAGAGAAAGGAGAGTTTTTCAATGTTTATTAGCTAATTGCCGTTTGCTGGGAAAGATGGACGGTTGAGTTAGTTGCAGTGGGGAACATTGATGTATTTGCCTTTAAACTAGACTGGTTTAATTCAAAAAGTCGGACACCCTGCGAATGCCATTTTTCGGGGTTTTAAATTGTTCCAAGAAGATAGAAGTAGGGGAAGGGGGGGGGGTGGCTTGTAGTCCGAGATCGCTTAACTTTTTGCAAAAAAAACGGGTATTAATTTGAAGTAACAATACAGAGTCTGTTTTGGATAAATTTTCAGGGGCATGAAAAACTGATTTGGAGTGATAACCCCCCCCAAACTTAGATAGGGCCCAAAGGGAAACTACTATGGGAGGAAATTGTTAAGGCCACGGGCCGATAATGTATAATCTGGGAATTTTAACTTTAGTCATTTGTTTGGGAATTTTTTGATGGGAATTTGAATAACACTTTTTAGAAATTTCAGGATTGTTTTTTGAAGCGTTTGGACAAAACCTAAAGGGAAATAACCTGCTTGATTATTAGGCAAACAATGAATCCCTTGTTAAAATTTAGAAATTTCAGAGGAACGGGGTGCTAGCCCCACAAATCAATTACATTTAGCATTGAATAAAATACGATAGTGCGATAAC